GGAAGAAGATGAAGTGTTGTGGGCAAAAAATAAAGTTTTAAAGGTTTGAGATTGTGGGTGGTGTGTGTGTGTGTGTGTGTGTGTGTGTGTGTATTTATATATATATAATTTGTAAAAGAATAAAAAGTATGGATACTAAAATTGAAATTATTCCTTTTAAATTTTGACATTTTTACTATTTTTAATGGAAAATCTGACATTATAGGGGTTTTCGCGCAAATATTTCAAATAGAGGGGTTTTCTACGATTTTCAATAGATATGTGGTATATTGCGAATAGAAACGTTTCTTTGAGAATTTTCTACTATTAATCCTTTTTAGAAGCAATTTTAAAAATAGTTCAATTCGATAGTTTATTATTCAGTTATTATAAAGAAAATTAAAAGAATAAAACTACAAATATGTTCGTATAACAAAAAAAAAAAAAAAGGTATAAAGTAATTGTGTATGTCACTCTGCAATTCAATGTAACTTTGCATATTTTACCAATCATTTTCTATAATATATGACTAACATTTAGACTAAGTATTTTTGCTTTGAATAAGCTATTGCATGTCAATCATCTTTATTGAATTATGAGATGAAGAAAAACGAATCTAAATTGTGAAGCATTTTGAAAAGGGATCTTCATTTTTTGTTCCCACTTTCTTTCACTTTTAGGATAGATTTCAAAATAGTGATTTTAAAGATTAATAGCTAAAAGAAATTTTGAAAGATGACCAAAAATCACCTATTTGGTGGGTTAAAAAACACAATTCAAATTATGCGGCACAAAAATGCCCCAAAAATCTAACAAACACGTGTTTTCCCAACCTTTCATAAGTAGAGTCATCCAAAAATAATCAAAATCGGTGAAAAAAATTGGAACGAGCTTGGAGCATATTTGATGTAGATTTTCAAAAATAAATTTTGTAAAAAATGATATTGTTGAAGAATATATAGTTAAAAAGTAGAAAAAGAAAAAAGTTACATGTAGGCATGCGAATTTATTTTATTGAAAGAATAGTGTAATTGAAAAATAATTTTGAAGAAAAATTAGTTTAAAATAATTTGTACCAAAGATGGCTTAATACTTGGGGTGAGATTTTCATTGAAATGACAAAAAATTAGGGTACATTTACTTTACTATTTTCAATTTTTAGTTTTGTAAAATACTGAAAATGAATTTGGTGTGATATTCTTGAAAATACATTTTCGAAATTAAGGATAAATTTATAATATAAGACTCAAAACATGTTTTAACATTTTTAGTGTTTTCCAAGAGTGTAGACACTAATTTTCCCTTGATCCAAGGTGGGTTTTTTTAGTNGTGTGATTTTGATGTTGTGATGTAGGTTGGTGAGATTGAAGAAAATAAGCAAAAGTTGACAAATTTGGAGAAATGACTAAATTGTAAGGGATCCAAAGTTCGGGAACTAAAATGTAAATACTTAAAATCTGTGTCGAATCCCACGATGAAGATTTGAGAGTGCTCGGAGTCAATTGAATAAAGGAAGACGTCAAGATGATCAAATTTAGTCAAAAGATGATCACAAATCAATTTCCAACTGAAAAGGTAACTCCAGTGTTTTAGTCTCATATTGAGACCTATTTTTGGCATGGAAAGTGATCGAATTGGAAAATGATGCCTGAATCAAAGTTTTAGCCAAATGAGTTAGCTTTCCAACGCATTTTGAATCGCCTTAATCGGATATCGGAATACAAAGTTATGATAAAAACAATGAAGGAAGGTGCAGCTGCCTATTTAAAACAGGAAATTCCGTTACATAGTCCGTTAAAACAACAAATTCTGTTNCTACCTGTTTAAAACAAGAAATTCCGTTACATAATCCGTTAAAACAACAAATTCCGATAGTTTTTTCGTTATAAACAAGAAATTCCATTACATAGCCACTTTTAATATATAGAAGATATATATATATATATAAAACATGAAAGTATTCTATTTTTACTGAATAATAAAATTTTATGAATTAAATTGCCATAAAATAATGTTTCAAAATTTCAAACCAAACGTGTTTTCTAGTTTTCTATTTTGAATAATAATTTTTCAAAATGACAAAATCAGACGCGTTTTTATCAATTTTAAAATAGGCTCTAAAAACAGAAAATGAACTGAAAACTGAAATTCAAACTAAACAGGCCCTAAGATTTATACTTCTTCAAAAGTATTAACACAATATTTTTCTAAATATTGTTTAAATAAAGTAATGCTTCACCAAAAACATTGATATGAAATTCGTCTAAAATATGATATGCACAAATATTATACATTTTCAAGAGTAACGATACAATATTGTTTTTAAATAATGTTATGTGTGAATTCGTGATTCTTTAAGGGCAACAAAATAAATATAAATATAAAATTTCTTTTTCAAACAATGCTATAATTTTCTGCTAAAATTTTGATTTATATTATTTTTTTCAAGAATAATAATGCAATATTCATCTGAATAACTTACAAAAAAAAAAAATTATATTCAAGCAAATATTTATTTATCATAAATTGGTATAGACAAATTGATGTAACCAAATTGAATAATTATATCACTTAGTTTTGCAATTTAAAGTTAAGAGGACGCTGACTTTTATTTTAAGAAGAAAAAGGATTTTCTTTGTAAATTCAATTGGGGTGAACTTATTGTATTTCTTTGATTGAAGGTTTTTTTTCCACCTCAATTTGATAGAGATTTATAAGTAAAAAGAGAAATAAATCTTGATAATTTAATTGACTAGAATTTCACACTGATAACATTTTAGAAAATAAAGAATAAGAGAAGAAATATAAAGAAGTCAATAGATTTTTATTTATTTTATTAAGAACCAAAATCTTCATATTTACAGGGAACAATTAGGTTACAAGCATAACATATTAAAATGCACGCATATGCATGCTTTGCTTACTCTCATATGCTTGATGTCTTTTCGAAACGTTTCGCATATGTGCTATGTGTGTGACAAGGTGGTCAACACAATGCATATACATGCTTAAATGTCAAAATAAGCACGCATTTGTATTAAAAATTTTGTAGATATTAGCCTAACAAAGTCCAACCCATTAATATAACATTAAAAAAATCATAAATTTTTTTTTGTACAGTTGCAGTATCGAGCCTAGCCTCCTCCTTCTTTGCTCTTCCTTTAGTTTTATTAGCAAATGATGCTAATAATGAAGAATCTTGGAATTTTATGATTGTGATGATGATAAGGAAATTAATAATGATATCCCACCATTTAGAAAAGATAATAAAAATTCTTGAGTTGAAATAAAGGAGTCCGATGAAGATGATTTTATATCGAATGACACAAAATATGATTTGGATGAAGAGGAGTTTGAATTGAAATTCGATAAAGTATTGGAAAATATCTAGAATTTTTTTAAGTCGATATTTGAATCTAATCTAATTGTAGAAATTAATTATCAAGTAACTGTAGTATTTATGATATTAAACATTATGTTTTTATTAAAAATTTGAAAAATGTGTATAAAGTTGAACAATTTTTATTTTTATGTTTTCGAAAATTTGAAGAATGTATGTGCCCTTGTTTGATTTCCAGTATCTCAGAATTATTTTTTTCTCTTTTCTTTTCAGTTACACATTTTTCAATAAAATAATATAAAAAGCAAACTTAAAACTTTTTTTATTTTTATTTTTTAGCCACATATTCTCAATCAATCTACTTTCCAAAATGCATTCTTGTTTAAAAATAGGGCTCAAACATGCCAATATATAAAATTTAAGGAATGCATTATTTTATTTAATTATTAGTTTAAAATATTAAAAATTTAAAAATGCATAAATATGTATATGCTTCACATAGATACACTTATTCTTGTAATGCTTGATACTCGATCAAAAAACATAATCATAGGAGAAGATGAATGATCTATCGAGCACCGATGTTCATCTGTTTTAAGTACTCATTTAAAGAACTTGGCTTTTAAAGATTGCTTTATCACATTGTTGATTTATTCGAATCTGCATCAAGGACAATAATACACTCTTCTCATAGCTAAATGTGGATATGCGCCACAACCATGAATCAGAATTAGAGAAGAGATTAAGACATGACCGATGAATATACTCTGAGCAACCACTTGGAGTAAGGATGGTGGCAATGTGCATTAACATCTAGAGGGATAGACGAGGGCAAATGAGAAGTGTATGACTAATTCAAAATAGCGAAAGTTTATGGGAAACACCAATTAACAACAGAAATTTAGAGGTATTTCTGTTCTTGCTTTCGTATATGATTCTATCCAATTGAAAACAGAAATTTACATTTACTTACCTAATTTAAACTATTCAAATAAACAACCTTAGGCAGCTTTGTTCTAACTTCCTCTCGGATACTAGCAGAGAAGGTTATCAACCTATTTCCCGTGTTGCACATCACCAATCAAAACGGAGCATTTTAGCACTCCTAGCTTTCGCTTTTGTCACAATCCTTGTCATAACATTATTCAGCAAAAGCTGAACCCGCATTCATCACAGGAATATACCTGAGTTCCTAATATCCAAAAAGCTTCTTTTTTTTTTTTTCCAGAAAATCATATCTACCAGTGAGTTAGGATATATAACCATGAGGTCTTCAATGTCATCTTCCTGCAGACATAGAGTCTAGGCTGTGGATCAATATATCATAAAGTTGTTTCTGACTTGCTAGAACCAGAATTTGGAGTGTCACATATCTGATCTGAAACTTTCTAGTTTCAAATGACGGCTATGCTCATCTGGCCAGACTTTTTCCTAAGCCGGAAATGAGTATTTTCAAGTATCATCATGAATATATTAACCAAAGCTGTGAAAGCCTAGGACGATGCATGCCTGTTTAAGATGTAATAAGATTGCATGACTGTGTCCAAGGACACAATCTAATAAATTGTTTTTTCAAGTGGTTGATGGACGTTGATAAGGTTCATCCATTTAGAAGCAACTTAGAATGGCATAGCCTGATAAAGGCGAGTTTCAAACGTGCGGATAGGTATCCATTCTATAACTAGATCCAAGATTGACCGGGAAATTTCTTGACTTTCCTTTCCTGCATCAAACGCCTTAATTGAGCTGCCTCAGCCCAATTGTCGATTGCTGAATAAGTATTCGATAACAGAACATAAGAATCACTTTCATGGGGCTCCAGTTCAAGTAGCTTCTTGGAAATCGAATTAGCCAGCTCAATATTCTTATGAAGCCAGCAAGAAGATAAAAATGCTTTCCAAACTTCCCTCAAATGAGAGATGCCGTTCTTATAAATAAAATTCTCACTCTCTTTTAAGTGACCAGCTCGGCCGAAAAGATCCACCATACAAGAAAAGTGCTCGACTTCAGGCTGGAGACCGTAAACTTCTATCATCATCCTAAAGTACTCGCAACCTTCTTTTATCAAACCGGCATGATTACACGCGGTAAGGAGCCCAATAAAACTAACTCCATTTGGCATAACACCCTCATTTTGCATCAATTCAAAAAGCTCAATAGCTTCTTCTCCCTTCCCATGCACGGCGTAACTTGCTATCATCACACTCCATAGCACAACATTTCGGGTTCGAGTTTGTCTGAAAAATGACCACGCGTTGTCTAACTTTCCACATTTGGCATACATGTCAATCATTGACGAGCACAAGCAGACATCTACAACTTGACCTAATTTGACTATAAGAGCATGAATCTGCTCGCCAAGCTCCAAAAATGCAACATTAGCAGCTGCAGTAAGAATACTGGTAAGAGTATACACATCTACCTCAAGTTGTTCGTGAACCATGAAACTAAAACAGTCTAAGGCATCTTTCATCATACCATTTTGAACATAACCAGCAATCATTGTACTCCAAGAAACAGTTTGTGCCATTAAATCACCATGACAACCCTTATAACCTATTCGTCGAAATTCTTGGAAAATTGTGGAGGCCTTGTCCATTTTCCAACATTTGCAGTACATATCAATAAGTGAAGTGATTGCAAATGAATCTTCATTCATCCCAACTCTCAACAGTCGGCCATGAATTTGCCTACCTAGTTCCAAACTTTTAAGCACAGATGCCAACACCAAGGATATAGAAAATGTAACTTTGTCGAAGGCTGGTCCTAGTTTCACCATCTCATAGAGAAGCTCCAAGGCGTTTCTCTCAAGCCCATGCTGCATAAGTCCGTCAATGATAGTATTCCAACTCGAAACACTCTTGATAGGCAAACTATTAAAAAACTCGAGACATTTCCCCATCTCACCTTCACTCAATTTAGCAGCCATCATGATATTCCAAGAAGTAGAATCTTTGTCATCCATCAATTTGAACAACCTATTCACATAGTCAAACACCCCGCGTTTTGCATAGAGATCAAGAATAGAATTCTGTAAAGCGACATCCATATCAATCCCATTTATCATTATCCACCCATGAGTTGTCTTCCCCATTTGAAGCCCATTATTAACACAAGCACAGCACTTGAAAACACTCGACAAAGTGAACGCATTGGGAGCCACGATTCCTTCATTTCGCATCTCAGTAAAGTAATCCAATGCAATCCCGTGATGACCATATCGAGCAAAGCCCGAAATTAGAATAGTCCAAGTTCTAACATCTCTATCAGGAATTTCATCAAACAACTTCCGGGCATCCTTTAAATCACAGTCTTTCAGGTAAAGACTCAACAAGTAGTTGTTAACATGCAGCATTTGAGCAAAACCATTTTTAATGAGATTGGAGTGATATACCTGTGTGTCAAAATTTGTGGACGTTGATGGTAATGAAGAGTAAAATGTCAAGTGATGGAGTTTAAAGAAAATAGGTTTAGGGTTTGTAATGAACAGTTTCTTCAGAGAGAACAGCATTTTACTGACCAAAATCCGGCCCCAACATAATAGCAATTAATCCAATTGTCGTTCACCGGTCAATTACAATTCCGGTCCGACCAAACTATTGACTGAGATAATGGTGGTATTTAGCCTCTTTGACCTGACCAAAAGTTTTTTTTTTTTGGGCCCTTTGACCAATTTCTTCTATTAAAAAATAAATAAATAAAAGCTTTCCTTTTCTATTATTCATTTGTACCCTTCAACTTAAGAGCATCTGCAAGAGACTCTCAATCTTTAAAGTACATATTATGTAATTTAGATAGCATCTATAAATTTAGAGAGTTAAAATTTTGAAGTACTCCAACAATCTCTTTATATTTAACACATAATTTTACTACTCCCAAAAAATAATTTATTATTTTTCTTTATCTTTTATTTTAAATAGTTCTTTTTTTAATTATTTTATTATTTTCCTACATTGAAAATTTGGAGAGTCGAACTCACTCTCTAAATTAAAAATGTTAATTTAAAGAATCCCTTGGACTATGATTTTAAATTTTGATTCTTTAAAATAGAGAGCATCTAATATTTAAAGAATCTTTTGAAGATACTCTAAGCACAAACAAGCTGCTCTCAAATTGAAATTAGTCAGAAAAGAATGGCATAAACAAACAGAAGAAGATGCAGCATCAATAAGAAGAAGAAGAAGAATTGGATTAATTGTGAAAACTCTATTTTGGTTTCAACTCGGTAAGAATTACATTTTCCAATGACTGAGAAATATTAGATTCTTGATAGTTGTGTCAAGATAGTTGCAATTTTTATATACACGAATCATCTGTCCCTCTGCCTTGCTGGCTGTTGTTTATTGTGAATTTTAAACATTATTTTTGGGTAATTTTTGTTGGTTGTTTTTTGGATCACTGGAGCTGTTAAATTGAGTTCATGACATTGTGCGTATAATGTGTTTTTTGTTCAGTATACATATGGTTGCCTTTTGTTTGTGAACTTTACCATGATATATGTTTTGTTGCCAAGTAACTAGTTTTACCAAAAGGCAACTCGTCTTGGCGTTCACGATGTGGAGCATCACTTGAAAATAATGTTAGACCTATTCAGTAGGAGATATTTAGAAGTAAAGGTCGAACAAATAGTGCTTTAGCATCACGGCTGCAACTTATCAATGATATATGATTAATTACGAGCGTACATTTTTCTATAATTTATAAATGATTTATGAAATTGGAAATAACATTATAGGTCAAACACTCCCTTCTATAAACCCTAAGCAAGACTAGTATATCTCATCCGTGTTATCATCTTGAGGTAGACTTCTTATGGGTGACTTTGACCTTAAAGGCATGGCTAAGTCAAAGTCAAAAATAATTTTTAATTTTATTATCTATTTTACATTATGGCCAGTGAAATATTTGACACTATCTTTCTATATAAATAAAAAAAAAACTAATCCTCAACAATGCAGTTCATCTCAACTGTACAATCTCATCATAATCTTGTAGCGTGTTAAACATTTGACATCTATTATCTATAGAAGTAGAGATTTACTAGCAATACTATTAGAAGAACCATAACATAGGATCCTATTTTAAGTCAAATACTTTTCAGTAAATTATCTTGAGCAGACAACTCATGTCATCATGCATTTTGCTTTCTTTTGCTGGGTTTAAAGGAATGGTGTCTATTTCATTTTTCAAATATGCTAACTCCATATATTCTTTCCTTTTTCGCGTCTTTTAATGACTCTAATGTTGTGGTTATAATGAGTTTCATTATCGTAATATTTTTCTGTTTGGACAAACAAGGAGGTATTGTACTTTTTTTTTTACCAGACTGATTTCTTCGACAAATATGCAGTTCCCAGATTTTAAATGCTTATGTAGTATGTCAGATCACTATAACATGTCCGTATATTTGTCTGCTTATAAATTTTCCATAATATACATGTTTCCTAAGATGCTTTATTCATTTTTACAATTATAGCTTCTATCTTGGTTAGTTCTGTAGGAGATATTACACCGATAATGTGCATATTATATTAATCAAGAATATACCGTGAAATCAAAATATCATTTGATTTACCGAAAT